GTGGAAATAAATTTTTCTAATTTGGGGGATAGAAAAGGCGGGGGCTTCTCTCCGGCGGTGCTGCTCCCGCTACTCCCGCTGCTGCCGCTCCCCCGCTGCGGACGCACGACTTCCCTCTTTCGCGTCTCGGCGCTTCTGCCTCGCGACCCCGCCGCGCCCCCACACCCATATCTAATGTCGTGGCCCTCCCCGATTGGTCCCGGGGTGGTGACGACAGTGCAGCCTCCCTCGCCGATTGGGCGCGGGAGGAAGGGAGGCGGGGAAGAGGCGGGGGTTACGACGCGGTTGCGTCAGGCAGGCCCGCGGGGGGCGTGGCCGCGTGACGCAAGACTTTCCACTCTGCTCCTCTCCTGCCCCGCCCGCGAACGCCACGTTGGCCTCGCCGCCCCCTTCTGCCCGCCCGCGCAGGCGTAGAGGCATCATCGGCGGTGACGGCCGGCGTGACGTCGTTGCGGCTGCCTGCGCCAAAGGGAAGAGGTCTCTGCCCGCGAGGCGCTTCCAGTCCCCACGCAGAGGCTGTCCGAGGATGCAGATGTATTCGGCCTACATGTCCCATCATCCCCAGACGGTGGGGTGCTGTGGCTTCACCCCATCTCTCAAGCTACAGGGCAGCCAGGATCCCAACCTCCAGTGTGAAAGAAAATCCTCGGCATCACCCAGCTAACCTGTGGAACTCTCTGCCACTTGGACGTCCAAACACGGAGGGCGTCCAAATTCTGGAAGCCTTTGGGTGCATCGTGGCCCTCCAAAGGAACTGGAGCACTCTTCTTGCAACCCACGCACTCTCCAGAGGATTTCTCAAGAGGAAAGGGGGAACACCCAGAGCCGCCCACTTGGCCTTCCTGGAAGGACTGCCCATTTGAGAATGGGTTCCAGTTACGACCAGCCTAACTTGCAGCCCATTGCCTGGAAATGGAAAGCTTGCTGGGCAAACAAACAGCCGCCTCAAAGGGAAGAGGAGGAACGGCAGGCCTGGGGCAGAGAGTCCCCGGCAGTGTTGGTGAGGAGGTGGCACAGCGTTCCTCCCTGTTCTGTGCAAATGTGGCACCCCAGAAAGTTGGGAGCTGGCAGGAGCTGTCAATCTCTCTCTCTCTCACACACACACACACACACACACACAGACACACACATAAGCAGATGAACTGGTCGCCCACTAGAACTGGGGATGACCCAGCCACAGTCCTCAAGCAGAGCATTTGGTGAACTGGTCGCCCACTAGAACTGGAGATGTCCCAGCCACAGTCCTCAAGCAGAGCATTTGCAGCAGTAGAGAAATTAAGGCAAAAAGGAATCTCCTTCCCTCCTAGTGGGGGCGAGCGGGCCCAGTTTGCTCCCCCTCATGGCAATGACCTTTTTTGGGGGGGGGGAAGGCAGGCATGGGGAGCATCTCTCCAGAGCTGGGGGTGGATTACAATGCCCATCATTCCTGACCTGTTGGGTATTGTTGATTGGGACTGACGAAGTTGTAGGCACCCCCCTAAAATAGGGGTTAAAATGGTCTTTGCACGTTGCCTCCCAGGCCCGCCTTTCTGCTGAAACCTCCTTCGTTTCGGGGGGGGGGACGACACAGGGGTTGAGGAGGAATTTCTGCTCTTGCAGTCCTTTCGAAAGGCCACCTGCCACCGACACGACTGGTTTCCCGCTTCTCAAACGTGGCAATTTCTCATATTTCTGCCCGGTGGGGAAGGCCACCTTCCCCGCGCCACAGCCTTTGGGGGGGGCACAGGAGGGCTGGGAACAAGGTCCACCGTCTGCCTCTCCCTCCCTGTGGGGTTGGAGGACGGAAAGGCCGAGGGAGCTGGGGCAACCTGCCCTCCCCCCCCCACCCGCCTGGCTGGGCCCCAAGAGCAGCAGGACGAACGGGTTCTCTTGGGAAAACCGCCCTGCGCGCTCGCTGCCCGTCAGATCTTGCAGGCTCCTCTCCCCCGAAAGGCAGGCCGCTTATTTGCATATCCTGTTTCCGAGCAGGATCCTCTTCCTGTAAGTAAGTGACACCCATGGGCAAACAGAGCCCAGGATCCTGGTGACCCCCCCCCCATCATCGCCGCCTTTCTGCTGGCAAGCAGCTGGGAGTCTGGCTTCCTGGCTCACTGGCTTGTTCTCTCCTCTCTTTTTTTCCCTCCCTGCCTTCAAACGCTCGCTCGTCTGGAGCTGCCTCTGGTTGCAGGTTCCCAAAGGCTAAGCCCAGTCTTACTCCCAACGGAGAAAGAGCCCAAAAGAAAAGGTGGAGCAAATTTCCAGTACTTGGAAATGGGCCGTACTGGAATCCTAGCCGTGCAGCAACAGTGAGATGGCCCAGAGAATTTAATTTTTTATTGAGAACATAGTTTTCATTTGATACAGGACTTTGTTTCCTTAGTTCCGTAGTAGGGCATCTACACCACACCGGTGTTTAAAAGTGAATCAACACAATGCTGTCGTACAACACAGAAAGCTTGCAAACTCTGGTCAGGGAACAAGGGAGGAAAAGCGGCAGTTGTGATGGGTGATCATTCCATGTAAGGTAAATAAGAAAAAGAAGCGCAGGAAGGAGAAAGGCTTGCTGGTTGAAGAACTTCGAGGACTGGTTTGGGTCACGGTTTGGAACGGCTACATCCAAAACCAAAACAGCCCTGGCAAAGTTGAGTCCCGGGAGGGAGAAGAAGAGGAGAAGACCAGGAATTTTCACAGGGCTAAGTGCAAAGTTCTAGACCTGGAGTCGGGACCCAATGCCCAGTTGCAAGATGAGGAGGGGAGGATACTTGGCTCAGCAATACTATGAGCAAGAAGGATCCTGGAGTCATCGTAGATCACAAGCGGAATGTGAGCCAATAATGTGATGTGGCTGCAAAAAATGCAAACACTATTTTAGGATGGAATAACAGAAATACAGTCTCACGGCCTGAAGGAACAACCCAGATCTGTCCTCCTCACAACGGCTCACCTCAGGGTCCCAGAACAAGGTCAGGACTGGGGGGGGGCTCTCTGGCACCCCCAGCAGCAGGGCCCTGGGGCCAGGCCTCCCTCATGCAGGAGGGGGCAAATCCCCCCACAGCCCAGGAGGCCCAGAGCCAAAGCAGGCACCGACAGGTGGTTGGCCAGAGGGCACAGACACTGGGTGGGGCGAGGCCCCAGCCTCTGGCGCTGTGGGGGGGCGCGCAGACCACCGCGTCCAGTTTGCCAAACCAACCTCTTGCCTTGCAGGGTAGACCCTAGGGGCCCCTAAGGAGGCTCTGTCAGTTGTGGGGGGGTGCTGAGGGTTGTGGGGGGAGTGGGCGGGGCCCTCCATCGCTGTCCCTCTCCGGGTTGTTGACGTGGGGCTGCGCCCTCCCAACGGTGCCCCTGCCTGCCTGCCTGCCTGCCGCCTTCTGTCTCCTGCTTTGCAGGTCTGGCCCTCTGCTCCTCTCCTGCTTTGGACACTTGAGGCTGTGCTAATTGTTACGACCTTTTAATGGTTTGCTTCCCCCACCCCCACCCCCATGAATGCCCCTGGGCGTCCTTGGGGCAACCACTCTGCCTGCTGATCTTTCGGAAGCACCAGCTTAAGGCTAAAAAACAATCTAACTAATGCACCCAAAAGGGGAGGAAATCTCCTTCCTCCTACAAACAGGTATTGCACTTCTTCAGAGGACTAGAAAAGGGTGTACTTAACGGGTCTTTAAAACACACAGGATTCTGGGAATTGAAGTCCCAGAAGCCTCCGGAGTGAGCAACAGACACGGGAGGACCGCTGGAGACTTTTGTTTTTTGTTCCAAACTCTTGCAGCTGCCTCAGAAAAAAAATCACTGAAAAAAAAAAGAAGAAAAAGACAGCTTCCGGCCTTATCTTATGCACAGCGTTTCCTCAGCAGAGAGATTTCCTCTGCAGGTCAAGATATGCAAAGGATCTTGTGTGCAGTGGCTTGCAACAGGGGATATCTGAAACAGAATATTTTTCTTAGGAGGACGTGGCCTAATCTGCCCAGAATTTAGGGAATATTTTGGGATTGATTTTTTTTTATTCCAGAACCCATCACCCACAGGGGGAATGTTGGTATCTGTAGTCCAATAAAGCAACGTTTTCTATCCCAAATCTCGACACTCGAGGCGCCTTTAAGACTACCCTACTTCATTCTGGCTTGATCACACAACCCGCACACTTCTGCAGGCAGCGGATGGGCACAAGGGTGCCTCCCGCCCTCACGTCCTTTCTGTTAACAGCAGAGGGAGCTGCCAGCTCTGTTTTGGGCGCAGGGAGGAACAGCCAGGCTCCACCGGGAGAAGAGGATGGGTGGAGGGCTTAAGTTGAGCAAGTTACTCTTGGGGACTACGACTCCCAGAATCCCCTGCACCAGCATGGGGAGAAACCCAGGAGTCATTGAAGAAAGCACGTCTTGTGTGGAAGGCGAGCCGTCTGTGGTCTGGCCATAGAGCATTTCCGGTTTTAGAGGGAATGACAAGCACCTCGAAATGCGGGCCAATGCAGCGAAGCAGGCCACCAGAACAGCCGAGCAGAGGCAGGTGTAAAAAAGGGCCAGTTGGGTCCAAGACACGCAGGTCCTCTGGCACCCCGGAAACTCCTGCAAACGTCCAACCTGAGCCGGCCACGGACGTCAACGGCTCTCGTTGGGGTGAGCAATGTAATCATCTTCCTTGTGGACCCAGTCAGACACAGGGCGGGCCCGGGGAGCGAATTCACACGGTGGTGACCCATCTTTCAGAAATGGATCAAAACCTTTTTCCAGAAGGAGCAGGACGCACCAGGAAATAGCCATTTTTAAGCAGACAAAGGCGGTATTTCTCTGATGAAACGACCACAAGGAACGAGACACAGTTCGGTCCATCTAAACCATTAGCATCCCATGTTTTATTTTTGCGGTATTTGAAAAACAGAGTGGGTGTAAATTTCAGGAGTAAGCAAAGTGAACGTTATAAAATTCAGGCAAGGTGGGGTTCAAATATTCCAGATAATCTTTACTCGGTGATCTGTTTATTCCTGGGCTGGCCTGGAGGCCTCAGCGGATCCCCGCGTGGGCCCTGAGGTGGCCAAAACTCTTCCCACTTTCTCCTGCCAATGGGCAGGAAATAAAAGCCTAAAATAAAATAATAAATGGGGCTTGTTGTTTGCAAGAAGTGGTGGATAGGGATACCTTGAAGGGCCAAACGGATCCACTACCTGCTCCAGAGAAGGAAAAGCCTGTCTTTGCCCTAGTTGGAGAAAAATAATAATAATAATACTGAACAGGGAGGGAGCCAGCCTGACTTCCCTAGGGAGAGAATTCCACCCCGGAGGCGGCAGAAGGCCCTGCCTCGTGTCTCCATCAGACTAGCCTACAGGTGATCATGTGAAGTAAGAAAGCAAGAATGGAAGCAAGCAAATTTTTAAAGAAATAAGGGAAATAACGGGATTAAGTGTTCAAATGTCCCCGTCAGTGGCTTTATTGAATTTGGTGAAGAAGGATCCA